GGGGGGGGGGGGGGGGGGGGGGGGGGGGGGGGGGGGGGGGGGGGGGGGGGGGGAGGATATTTTCGCGGCGGCCCCCGCGCCCCCGCGCCGCCGTGGGCTGCGCTATACCCACCAGCCACTGCTTGCTGCTGTGCTGGTGTTGTGTGTTGTTGTTTTCGCCAGAAAAAATAAGAATAGAAGGAAACAAGACATAATCAGGATGCGGCAGCCCAAACGAATAAGAAATCCGTTTCAAGAAATTGGGCCGACTTCGGCTGGTCCTTCGGCCCAAAATAAGATTTTGAGGCTCGACCCTATTGTGACGTTTGTTTCTTATCTCCGGGCCCATTCTGTATGACGTTAACATAAAAACAAGACTACGGCAAGCAGTACCAAATAATCTAGTCTGCGAACGGCGAATGATATTCTACCGTCCCACGAACGATACATTTTATTTCCGTTAGGAAAACGGCAGTCGAAGCGTCTCGGACTGAATTTTCAATGCATAGCTAGACTAGTCTAGACTAGCCGGAAAAAATGCAAACGTTGCGCTTCTAGCCTACCTAATAAATATAGCTATAGCCTACTCTACGCATTGGGAGGTAGGTCACTCGAAAAGTCATTGTGTATGACGATCGATGTCTTCGGCGAGACCGTGCGGTGAATTGTCTAACAGCTTTAACGAGCCCATTGGGCCTCCGAAGCCCGACCTCGACAACTTCGCCCTTCGCCTGCCTCAGATCTTGGCCGTTGGCCGCCGTTGGGAGGGCTGCTTCGTAGGTGCTCGGAACATGGTCTAATAGCTGTTGAATCGTCCAATTGAAATCCCTGTACTACGGACAGATGAGGAGGCGTCCAAAAAACCGTTGAACCTTTTTTTCTTGTGTTTTGTCAGTTCTGACAATTAACCCGCGACAAGATATGCGCGTGATAGAGAGCCAGCCCCGAGATACAACCAACACTCCCTGCAGTGGGACTGCTCTGCTGCCGCCCATCGCGCACCACCACCATCACCACCACCGACCCCGTATTGCCTGCGCGGTACATGGAAAGATGGGAACGCTCGACAACCACGCGGACGACGACCATGCGTGCTTCGAGCAGCAGCATCTGTGGCATGCGTAATAGGTCTCACACGATGGACGAGCTGCTCAATACCAGCAGCAGCAGCAGGGACGAATTTGGCGCGAAAGACAACTTGGACACTACCTCACCGCCCAGGCGCCGTCGCTCTCTACCTAGCTGCGCGAGGTTCAGGCAGGCCACCGCGGCGACGGCGGGCTGCGTGAACACGGTACTGTTGTGGGGCTGCCGGGCGGCGCTGATGGTGGGCAAGTCTCTGGGCGATCTACGGAGACTGTGCGAGATTGCTGCAAGCGAAAAAAAAAAAAAGCTGCCGAGCTCTGATAATGATCGTGCTCAAGGCTGGGGCACACGTTCGAACTCATTCGACGAGCAGGACCGCGAGTTGGGGATGTGCGAAGGGGCGGTCGGGGGGGAAGGATCAGCGGTAGTAGCCGGGATCGGAGGGGAAGATGGGGAGGGGTTGCCGTCGGCATCTGCTGACTCGGTGAAGATGGACTCGGGGTTAGGGGAAGGAGGGGAGGAGGGGAGTTGGCGGGAGATGCGCAGACGGAATAAGCAGCTGGAGCAGCTGCAGGAATTGGAACCGTTGCAGGGTGATGATGACGATGATGGGAGTAGCGGCTTGGTTGAGATCGAGATGAGCACATTCCCCCTGAAAGATAGGAGGGGAGCGGAGGGAGGGTTTAGCCCACTGCCGTCGTTGCCGCTAACGGTCTCGTGCCTGCAGTACCAGCAGGGCGTAACAGCAACAACAACGCGGCCCTCTTATGCTCGAGCTTCCTGCTCCCGTGGCGCAGCAGACGTTGGGACAGCAGCAGCTTCGCCTCCTGATGATGAGGGCTTGGATAGCACAAACAACAACAACGACCCCACGCCGTTGCCGAAAGTGTCGGAGCCCGAGAGCGCGACAGCCAGCACTGCGAGCGCGTCCTGCCGTACGCCCAACCAGGACACCAGCAACAGCAGCAGCACCTTCAGCAGCAGTAGCAGTTGCGATGATGGGGAAGAGGACGACTCGGCCAACACGCCCTCGGATTGGTACAGGATGCGCGACATCACGGCAGGCGCAGATAACAGCCCTGCTCCCGTGGCGGGCTTGCAGGCAACGGCCCCGATGAGCTCAGCAACGGGCGGGGACTGCTGCTGCTGCCTGTGCGGCTACACGCTCGAGGAGGGGCAGAGGGTTGTGAGGAGCCCGGAGTGCGGGGAAGGCTTGATGGTGGGTTGTGTCCCGATTTTTTTTGAGACGCGCTGCTTTTGCATGAACGACCTGGTTGGATGGACCTCTGGAACGAGCAACGGTTTCCTGCTGTATGTGTTTTTGTGGAGCAAAAATTATTTTTTTGGCGGTTGGTGCCATTTAGTAGCCTCTTACACAAGCTCGATGCCAGCAGGCCATGGCGAAGGGACACTACGGTCATGATGCCCCTCCCTACGGGACGCCTTCGGTGTCTCTTGTGGTGCCGCGGGTGTTCGGAGTTCGGAGCTGGAAAATCGAGTATTTTTGGCTGCGCGCTCCCAGGACTTTTTTTTGAAAATACCCAAGTCTGTTCACACCAGAGCAGCAGACCTGTATGCATACGTGCGTCGGTTTCGCAATACGCTCAAAAAGGACGTCGGTCGGCTCCCTTTTCTCTCCCGGGGATAAGAACGAAGCTCGTGCCTGTTTTGGCAATGGCTTGTGGGTGCGTTCTGTCTTTTGAGTGTCGACTTTCTCTTGGATACCATGCAGACTACTCAAGGCGATAGCCAGCGGCAGTGGCATGTGAAACGGATTGTACCAGTGGGGACTTGTGGCGGTCTGTTGATTGAACTTCAAACCAAGAACAGGAACCAACTTTCGCTGTTGAATACTCCTCCAGAGTAGACAGCAACGGGTGGCTTGTGACGGCGTTGTTTCGCGTGCTAGGCATGCTTTCTCCGCGATTACACACTAAGGCCCCATGATAAGCATTGGCTACAATACAACTCTCTGTCTTCTGCCGTACAAGTCGGGTCAATTACAAAAGAGAGACAACGATTTTGTGGCCATCCGACCAGCTGCTTCCGACTTTGCTGCATGTGGTACGTGGGATCCCGGCTAACTGCTGTTCAGCTGAACTGCGATGCACCGAAAGCGTTGTGAGTGAAATTATTTAGTAGACAACAGAACCGGCGCCAGAATACACACCCACAGCAGCAGCAGTAGGCCGTTGGATTATGTTTTCATTGGTCAGCCGGTTAATAAGCACGGTGAACAATATCTTGCTGTTGAATAACACCATAAAATAGCCCCAGATTCTAGTATCAGCGGTTCATCATCCACACCTGCCTACAGCAGTACGACCGCCACAGAACACTAAATGGCGTGTGCTTTGTGGGTTGCTTGCGTGCACACCGCATCATTTACTTAGTTTTAGCGCACAACGTGGAGATCGCCGTCGTTGTTGTCTTCACATAAAAACAAACCGCGAAGCTATTCTAAAATCTCCCATATTTTCAACAGAAGTATCTATGCATAGAATCTTGCAGTTGGAATTTCGGGATTGGGGAAGGCCTAGTTTTGGAGTAAGTCCATGTGACGTCCACCCAGGAGTGGCGTAGAGTCGTGGAGGCGTTGGCATGGTGAACAAGGAAACATACCGCAACACACAACACAGAGCTACATACGATGCACTGTGTACAATTGTTGAGGGTAGCAAGGCCCCCTGAAAGGACGACGCTGCTGGACCAGGCTGTTTCGATACAAACACGCGTTCCAGCCGGTATCGTAGGGTTTGCTGCATCCTGTGGTATGTTCACGACATCTGCCGTATGCATGAACCTCCTGCTGTAGACCTTATTTTATGCGGAACATATCGGCCACCGCAGAAGAACCGCTTGTTTCGCCAAAGCCCTCGCGGCGCACATCTGCTGCGCCAAACTTGACACATGGTCTTGTTCGCCGAGTTTTGTTTGCGACACCAGGCGTGCGCCGCTGAAAACGCGGTTCTTGTTCTTACCTTTTGTACACCAATCTGCACGCCCTTGTTTTTTTTTTTGTCAATCTTCCCTTGACGAATAGTCTATGTGCGTGCCAAACATAGTCTTCCATGTGTTTATTCTGGTATGGGACGTTTGTCGTGGTACGAAAGTCCTTGCTTGGACGATACACAGGCAGGCACAGAAGATGATCTCCGTTGATTTTCGATGAATTTTTGTCCATGTCATAGCTTGCTAGGCGAGTAAATTGCGAAAGGGGTAGCGCGAGACCTGCCAACACTTTGATGCCTCCGCAATATCTAACTACGGTCAGGTATTAACGAGTACTCATATGTGACGATATGCAACAACAACCAACGATGCCGAAAGTCGCCGGGATCATGGAGCACCTCTCGGACTTTCTGACCCACAGCAGTCTGTGCTGCACCTGATTGGCGCACGATTGTTCCTTACCTACACCTCGGATATGAAGCGCGTTGTAACACGACTGGTGCTGCTGCCTGCAACCCATGGCAGGTACATCAAGCCTGCTTCGAAAGCGAAGACAGTACACCGGTCTTCAGCGACGACTCCGATGGAGGAGCCCTCAAGTTCGGCTGCGACTGCGGGCAGTTTCACCCCGGAGTTGGACTGACGGCAGGCGTTTACGCGTTATCCTTAGCGTCAGGTGTGTGTTCGTGGTGACCCCGTCCTTGTATAATAGGTGAAACAATGAGCGAATACCGTACGAGTCGGAGAGATGGCACCCCCGTGTTAGAGTTTATTTGTAGCGAACGTCTCCTCCACCAGGGGGGTACCACTGTTGTGGACGGCTTTCCTCAGAGGAATCGTTCCTCAGAGGCTCGCACCCTCCTAGTTGTGGAGAAATACGCTTTAAAAACAACGAAAACAAAACAACGCCAACACGGGGATGCCATCTCTCCGACTCGCACGGTATTTTGCTGTGGATTGGGGGGTGGGTTCTGTTCCTCGACAGTTAGAGTACAGCCCAACCAGTAACGTACATTCCCCAACAGTTGTCATAAGTAACACACATAATTTTGGTGTGGGTCGTGTGGTCCAAGTGCTGTCGCGTACGTTTACGTGGCTTTTGTGTTTTCTAACACGGACAGAATTCTTTCTTGTTTTCTGAACGTGGCGAGTTTCCGACCAAGGGAACAGGGGGGGTTGGCGACCCTTGCTGCCTGTTGCAGTCAGAAAACGCTCGTCCTTGCGCGATTTGTGTGCTCCGTTACATGTGCTGTTCAGATGCGTTGGCGCCGTCGGCGACGTTGTCAGGGGCGGGAACTCCTGGGGCAGGGCCGGAGGGGTGGTTGGGTGGAGATGCAGGGGCGATGGTGTCGCCGCGGCATGGGTTGAGAGAGCGAGCGAGGGAAGCAGCGTTGGAGGCTTGTCCGACCTTTGTGCAGGTGCAATCCGGGGGTTGTCACTGTCGGTGGTGCGGTTGCTACTGCTGCTGTTGCTGCTGCTGCTGCTGTTTTTGTTACAACTGTTGCTGTTGGCTGCTGTTGCTACTCGGTTGTTGTTGTTGATGTTTGTTGTCGTGGTTTTTGTTACAACTCTGCTGTTGCTGTTGTAGCTGGTGCTGCTGCTGCTGCTCATGTTCCCTGTGACATGCCCAGTGTCCACACGGAAATCACACAACGCAGTACGGGATTGAAGGCTAGGCTCTCTTCAAGTACGCTTGAGAGGGTTTCTTGGCGAGAGTACTGCTGTTCACTCTACCATCCACTCTTCCTTGTTAACCTTGCGCGTCATGGGTGGTCCATCCGTCCGTCCTCTGCTTGTCTTTCTTCGTTGTCTCTCTGGAGAGAGAATGCGAGAACGCGTTAGACCTGATGGGTTCTGATGGGTTATGCACTCTTCGGTTTTTCTCATTTTTTGCCATTTTTTCTTCGGTCTCCCCCCCCCCCCCCCCCCCCCCCCCCCCCCCCCCCCCCCCCCCCCC